TAAATATCACTGCTTTATTTCAAATTATGTATCTATGTTATGTTAAAAATGAGACCGAGCGTTTTAAATGTTTTTCTAAACCTTGTATGGGTTTGGGAAAATTTTTCTACAGAGCTTCGTGCTCACCCCCTATCACTAATATTTTTCAGATTATCCGCTTGAGGATGAGGACGTAAGGGTCGAAGAGCCCGCTACTTGGGAGACTCCACGGGACGGGAGTGTGGATCCCGAGGTGGACGCATAGAGCGACCTCCTTTCTTTTTGTACTAGACTAGGACATTCTTTTGGAACATTATGTAGTCTAGCTTCTTTTATTTATTCCGCTGCGCTTCTTTAATTAATTTTTGAGATGTAATAGCCATGACTTGGGCTTATTCTTTTGGATAATATTGTAAATATTCGAGGATGACAAATGAAATCTTGTTTCTTAATGGATTATATTAGTGCTCTCATGATATGAATGATTTTAAAATATAATGTCATCCAGAGTGTGTTTTGGGGCGTAACATATATATAAAAAGGTATTTCACCCACAATCTATCTAATCTACCATTGATTTAAATAGAAGAACAATATACTCGAATTGACTTGGATCCTTGCTTTAGGTAGACTCATCCAATTTTTCCTATTCGCTCGACTCGCCAGAGGTCAGGAGAAAGGGGGAAAAAGTTGTCTTTTGGCTTGAAAAATGGAACCAAAGGAGGGAGAGGGGTGAGTTGGCCAAGACTAGCAAACGGTGTCTGTATATTAGGCATACTCAATATGTTGGAATTTCTCCAAACCCACTTTGCCATTAATAATGGAAGTGATAGAGTGGGCTCATTAATTTTTTTATTTTTTTTTTTCAAAACCCATTAGGCTATATGCAATCCTACTGAGTTTATAAATAAATAAATAAAATCACTTTTAACATGTAATTGCCAACCTCTTTTATCCCGATTCCAATAGTCTTTTTCTGATAAACACACAATGAGATATTTGAACACAGTTTACCCAACATCCTATTCAATTCGCAAGAGATGACGAAGACCAGCAAGCTCAAATCCAATGACCACCTTTAACTTTTGAATTTTGTAGATGAGAGTTTATCGATCAACCGGAAACTTCTATCACAATAGATGTAAGGTTTCAATTAATCTTTTTTTTATGATCACACATAAAAAGATACATGCAAAATTTGAACAACCTTTATCTCACATAATATTGAAGTAGCAAAAACTCAATTAAAGACCAATAAGCTCAAGTCCAAATACCATCTTTGAAAAAACCTAACTTATGGAGAAGTGAATAAAAACTGATCAATTGAAGAACTCCTGCAACAACTCCAATAGTCAATAAAGTATCCATCCTCAATAATTAGGCAAGACCCAGTTGAGTTGAATTAAGAATGTATTCTCAAGTTCTCTTTGTTGTTGTGTGAAACATTAATCCCTTGCTATTAGACAAGACACACTAAAAATAATCTCTACACCTTTGACATCATTACTTGGGATGGCATTGTCGAGAATTTATGCGCACAAATAAATAGAAGAGATTATATGCAAGCACCAATCACTCCAAAATCTCCTAATGGTGGTCCACTTTATATATATAATAGTTATTGTATATGCCTGAAGGCACAGTGTAATAAAAAATGATAAAGAATAAATATATTTGTATTTATATCTAAAATTAAATAACAAACATAGAAAAAAGATAAAGAAATTTAAACATCAATTTGTAGTAGAAGTGAGAGATAATGGGCGGTAGGGGTGGTGGTAAGAGACAGTAATAGTTGTGGTGGTGGGGGTGGCGGTAGCAACAGCGATGGTGGTGGTGGCGATGGCAATAGTGATAATGGCAGCGACGACGATGGTGACAGCTGCGGCGGTGGAGGTGGAGGTGGAGGTGGAGGTGGAGATGACAGTCGCGGTGGCAGTGGCAGTGGTATGGGATGGCAGTTGTGGTGGTGGTGGTGGTGATGGTAGAGGTAGTGGTAGTGGTAGAGCGATTCAAAACAATATTTTTTTTTAAGTATTTATAAAAAATAATTTCTAAAAGCACTTTTAAAAAATTACTCCAAACACACCTTTATGAGCCTATTTTTTCTTATTAAATTTGAAGTTTTAACATTAGCCGTTAGATTAATTTTAAAATAAAATTTAAAGCGATCTGAACAGTNAGAGACAGTAATAGTTGTGGTGGTGGGGGTGGCGGTAGCAACAGCGATGGTGGTGGTGGCGATGGCAATAGTGATAATGGCAGCGACGACGATGGTGACAGCTGCGGCGGTGGAGGTGGAGGTGGAGGTGGAGGTGGAGATGACAGTCGCGGTGGCAGTGGCAGTGGTATGGGATGGCAGTTGTGGTGGTGGTGGTGGTGATGGTAGAGGTAGTGGTAGCGGTAGAGCGATTCAAAACAATATTTTTTTTTAAGTATTTATAAAAAATAATTTCTAAAAGCACTTTTAAAAAATTACTCCAAACACACCTTTATGAGCCAATTTTTTCTTATTAAATTTGAAGTTTTAACATTAGCCGTTAGATTAACTTTAAAATAAAATTTAAAGCGATCTGAACAGCGAATAGCAAAAGTTNTTAAATTTGAAGTTTTAACATTAGCCGTTAGATTAATTTTAAAATAAAATTTAAAGCGATCTGAACAGTGAATAGCAAAAGTCATTTTATTTATCTTTTGAGATTTGAATTGTAAGCTATTTTATTATATAGATATATGGATAGAAAATTTAATATTTTGTACCATAAAGTCTCTTGATTTTATTTTTCTCAAATGTAATTTACCTCTTTATGTTTTAGAAATTTTCACAAAACTCTCACATGCTTAGTAGACTAAATTACGATGTCAATGATTCCGTCCAAGTTGACAGTGCGTGTGGCTCACCCTCTATTCTCACAACTGGGTAAACTAATAAATAGCAATATTACATAGGATTAAAATATAAACTTGATCAATCAATATCATTGATTTAATTGTAGGTNATGATTCCGTCCAAGTTGACAGTATCTCCTAATGGTGGTCCACTTTATATATATAATAGTTATTGTATATGCCTGAAGTCACAGTGTAATAAGAAATGATAAAGAATAAATATATTTGTATTTATATCCAAAATTAAATAACAAACATAGAGAAAAGATAAAGAAATTTAAACATCAATTTGTAGTGGGGGTGAGAGATAATGGGCGGTAGGGGTGGTGGTAAGAGACAGTAATAGTTGTGGTGGTGGTAGTAGTGGTGGTAGTGGCGGTAGTGGCGGCGATGCTGGTGGTGGTGGTGGGGGTGGCGGTAGCAACAGCGATGGTGGTGGTGGCGACGGCGATAGTGATAGTGGCAGCGACGACGGTGTTGACAGCTGCGGCGGTGGAGGTGGAGGTGGAGGTGGAGATGACAGTCGCGGTAGCAATGGCAGTGGCGGTGGCAGTGGTATGGGATGGGATGGCAGTTGTGGTGGTGGTGGTGGTGATGGTAGAGGTAGTGGTAGCGGTAGAGCGATTCAAAACAATATTTTTTTTTAAGTATTTATAAAAAATAATTTCTAAAAGCACTTTTAAAAAATTACTCCAAACACACCTTTATGAGCCAATTTTTTCTTATTAAATTTGAAGTTTTAACATTAGCCGTTAGATTAACTTTAAAATAAAATTTAAAGCGATCTGAACAGCGAATAGCAAAAGTTATTTTATTTATCTTTTGAGATTTGAATTGTAAGCTATTTTATTATATAGATATATGGATAGAAAATTTAATATTTTGTACCATAAAGTCTCTTGATTTTATTTTTCTCAAATGTAATTTACCTCTTTATGTTTTAGAAATTTTCACAAAACTCTCACATGCTTAGTAGACTAAATTACGATGTCAATGATTCCGTCCAAGTTGACAGTGCGTGTGGCTCACCCTCTATTCTCACAACTGGGTAAACTAATAAATAGCAATATTACATAGGATTAAAATATAAACTTGATCAATCAATATCATTGATTTAATTACAGATCTCATTATTTATTAAAACACACTATCTATTCTATAGTTATAATTAATCAAGTTCAAAAAATATTTTTCGCTAATAAAAGATTTCCCTCCAAAAATGTCAGGGCATATGTTGTAAATAATTTAAAGCAAAATTCCTCAAAATGATTTGTCAAATCAAAAAACCTAAGGGCTGACATGTGCTATAGACACTGTGACAAGAATGGCAAAAGGCAAAGCTAGAAAAGAGGTGGAGTTCTCTGTTGTACACCAGGAGCGTTATTTCCTCCAAAATGTCATCGATTCGCCATAATCATATTTTTGTAAACACAAAACAACGTCGTTTTAGATGTCAAACGATCTAAAACCACATTGTTTAAGAAACAAGACTTTTTACCGTACAAAGAGGGAGAAAAAGAGCAGCTAACAAGTGGTGGTGACGAAAGCGCATTGGCTTAGTGGGTGAAGAAGATGGTGATGGTGGTGACAGAATATAGTGGGTGACATTGCCACGTGACTAACCACAACCCTTTCGGTGGATATCATCCTTGGCTTCCTATCAACGCTAACTGCCAAAATACATAAACCACAACTCTACAACCTAAAAACCGACACTTACCCACTTAAAGACAACACCACCAAAAGAGAAAAGAGAAAGAATATAATATTAAAATTTTATTTTTTAATATTTTATTAAAATTTATACTTCAATTGGTTAAGATAATGATTCAATTATGTGAAACTATAATATATTAAGGTCTTCTATGATCGATCACAAGTTTTATAATAAATTATAATTTTAATTTTATCAAGTCTTAGCTAACTCTTAAATTGCAACTTGGTCACAATACAATTGTAGTTAACCCTTTTTAAGTCGTAACTTTTTGTGTAGTATTAAATACGATGCCATAATCATTTTCATCCAAAAAAGAGTGAAGAAAGAGTTAGATTACTATCATTAATTCATTTGACAAAATTGAGGGATTCTTTGGTTGGCCACTTCCACTAGCCCCTTCCCATTCTCTTTCCCTAATGCTAGTGGTTGATCCTCTCTCTCTCTCTCTCCCTCCTAATAGCCCACTAGCATAAGTCTTTTTCTCTATCTAAATGCTAGTGGCTCTCTCCATCTCTGCCCTACATGCATTTCCACTTGCTTTTAACTTGTTGAGGTCACATATCATGTTAGCAGCTAAGCCTTAGGTAAAATTTCAGGGGGGAGAGATGGGTAAGGAAGCCCACCAAGAAAATTCGTCTCTCCTTCCTAACAATAACAATAATAATAACAAGAAGAAAGAGTCTCCTAAGAAACTTCTAGGAGGTGGTGATGATGGCGGCGGCGGCGGCGGCTGTGGTGGTGGTGGTGGCGGCGGCGGCAGTGGTAACAACGATAGGTTAAAAAGAGATGAATGGAGCGAAGGAGCAGTTTCAAGCCTCCTTGAAGCTTATGAAGCCAAATGGATACTTCGAAATCGAGCCAAACTTAAAGGTCGAGATTGGGAAGATGTAGCAACGTATGTCTCTGGTCGAGCAAGTTCAAGTAAGTCGCCCAAGACCCAAACACAGTGCAAGAACAAGATCGAGTCAATGAAGAAAAGGTATCGATCGGAGTCTGCCACATCTGAGCCCTCGTCGTGGCCTCTTTTTCCGAGACTCGATCTATTAGTCCGTGGAAGTGCTCATCCTCCACCTCCGCCTCCACCTTCAGTCCCACCTCCTCCCCCACCAACAGCACCACCTTATGCCAACCCTCCTTTGATTGTTCTTGAACCATCAGTTCTGCCAGCACAATTACCACCACAGCCTCAGCCACCGCCACCACCACCACCTCAACCTCCACCTCTGGCTCCGTTATTGCTGGTTGGAGTTGCACAAAACTCTAATGGCTCCAAAGGCGTTGATCGGGTGCCCAAGGTTAGTGGAATAAACAATCACATCTTTCTGCTAAATCATTTCATTTTTTACTTGGTCATATGGTGAGAGATGAAACTTGTTGCAACATAGTCATATGCAATGCATCATCATGACTTCAATCTTCTTACAATGTATTATTTTGGGAGGGCATGTTTGGTAGTCAAATTAGGATTACATGAATTTCAGTAATAGGATTTTTGATATAAGGAATAAACTAAACAAATCATGGATAAATCCAATGGTAAATTATATTTTTGGTCTTTAATGTATGCGTGTAATGTATATTTGGTTCTTAAGATTCTTTATTTATATCTACGTGGTCTAATTACAAACGTCTATCAACAAACCGTTAACAACTCTGGTCACGCGCCAATCATATGGGACCACCAAATAAACACAATTGGAAAAGGGATCAAATAGACACAAATTAAGAATTTTAGGGATTAAATAGACACAAAATAAAAAAAAACCACGTGATTAGCGCTTAACCAAGATCGTCAATGATTTTTTTACGGATGTTTGGATTAGACCACGGAGATACAAATTAGTAATTTTAGAGATTAAATAAACACAATTAAAAAATTGAGAAACAAATAGATACTAAACACATATTTTGAAAACCAATAATAAATTTTTCCCTAAATCCAAACGACTTTTTTTTTTTTTTAAATTCAACGGATCTTGTCGTAGGCATTTGCCCAATTCAATCGAGGGGTCATAAGTCTTTGAATTCCCATCAAACTCAATCATTCATGTTTAAATTTATTAGCATGGGTCTCACAAGAACCTAGTGAACCCTAATAGTTTGTAGCTAATTGATTGTAACTAAACTGAAAGTGACAGAAATCTTTAATTCTCCTATTCCAATCCTTTAATTTCCCATACTAATAGATCTTAAAAAAGATTTTCTGTAAGTCATTCCTTTTCTTTCTTTTATTTGTGGAGAGAGTGGGGATTANAATTCTCCTATTCCAATCCTTTAATTTCCCATACTAATAGATCTTAAAAAAGATTTTCTGTAAGTCATTCCTTTTCTTTCTTTTATTTGTGGAGAGAGTGGGGATTATTATTAAATCATCGTTTAATTTAAAAGTTTACACTAATGCTATTAAGACATAATTCAAGGACATAATTTTGGGGACATAATGAGTTGTCACCAATGAAATGATAGTGAAATATATTTAATTATGGGTCTCGTTGTAGCATTAATGAATTCATTTTTATATCATTGGTAACAACTCATTATGTCCTCAAATTATGTTCATAAATTATGTCTCAATAGCATTGCTCAAAAGTTTAAGTTGATAGATACTATTAAACATGAATATTTATATGTTAAAATAGTTACGCACCCCACCCTTATGAGGTGTGTTTTTTGGTTTGGGGGTGGGGG